TTAAAAAATTTTAAAAAATTGTATATTGTTAAACAATTCATAATATTATAAATTTCACAAATACATTTCAATTTAAATTATTCATTATTATAACCAATTATTGAACTCAAGTACAAAGATCTATTTTTATTTTATTTAATATTTAAATTTTATTTTAAAAAATATTATTATCATTTAATTTATTAAAATCTAAACACATGGAATAATTGTTGTTTCTTAATTAATTTAATTTATTTGTTTATTTTAATTTATAAATATTTTTATATTTTTAAATAGTATCTACATATATGTAATGTAATAAAAATATATAATTTAAAAAAATTTTCATAAATATTATTTAATGTAATTAAATAAAATTGAATAATTAATTACAGTAGTAACAATAATAAAAGATAATAATATTATGTAATAATTTAATCACGATACTTCCTATCGTAGTTGAATACTTGATCTCCATTTTATAAAAATGGCAACCGTGAGTGTGGGATGTGGAGATTTTTTAGAGTTTCAGGTATTTTTGTAGTAAATGAAAGTATTATAAAATATGATATATTTCAAATTATATAGTTCAATTGTTTCGATTACATTCAACATATGTATTAAGCTATAAATTTCTATAAAGTTATAATTCATTACAAGCATATTTAAGGTTATATATTACTTTTTATAATATTTCATATAATAAATGATATTTAAAAGTGCAAAATTTTACAAATACTAGACTGAAACTAAAAATGAAATTAAAGATATATTCAATACATAATTTATAATACAGATTTCAAAATTTCAATATAAATTAAATATACATATAAATTAATGAATCTAAAATAATTATTTACATGCATATTATGTATGCACAAAAAATGTTTAAAAATATTTTTGTTCTAGGATGCATTAAAAAAAATGCGGCAACTTGATGACAAAATTATTTACATGTTAAATACCATACTTCCAACGGAATCATTTAAAGGACAAGTTGATCCTACTGTAAAATGCAAAGATTTATATGAACAAATTCAATCAGGCCATAAAACAAGAGAATTGGCTATTACAAGGTGTCTAAATGCATCAAAAGAAAAAGTGAAACAATTAAAGACTGAAAGAGATAATGGTAATGAAAGTCCACAACTTCTTAAAGCATTAAGAAAAGAACAAAACACTCTCCGTCTATTACAATCAGAATTGAATATAGAAGAAGTTGTAAAGGAACATACAATTGATGTTTATTACAATAAATGTCGTGTTTTTTATAAACCACCAAATATAGAAATTTAAATTTGTGTTATTCTTTTTAAAAATATTTTAAAAACATCAATTTTTTATATGATTGTAAAGTTAATTACAAATATATATTAAAATGTTAATTTTAATTGTGTTTAGCTATTGCATTTATATGATAAACTATATAAATTTTCAATTCCCATAATTATAATTACATTTTGTTTATTTTTTGTAATATTTTCAATTTTTGTGCAGAAAATTTATATAGGAAATAATAAAAAAAATTTTAGGCATCCTTATTTTGTTTATTATCATATTCTTACATTCATTTTTTTTTTATATTTTTTTGTTAATTTAAAAATTAATCTATTAATAAAATTAATATATGTTATAAAAATAAATTTTCTGATTTATTAAGATAAGATATAATAATGCTTATTTATATAATTAATATAAATAATATCTTCAAATATTATAAAGATATGATACTATTTTTACTAAAAATTATTATTTGTAATAATCTCTGATTATTCAAAATAATGACTTTAATGATTAAATAATTCTAATGAAATATAATGACATGGAAAAAAAGTTAATCAAAAAAATATTTAAAATATTGAAGTAAAATTTATGTAATTTAAATATTATTAAAAGAAATTAAAATACTATTTTTCATTTTTTTCAGCCATTTCGGCTTCTTTTCGGGCTTTTTCTTTCACTTTATCATACCATTTTTGTCTTTCTGTTATTATATTTTTTCCAGCAGCAACATCTCTTTTACCACTTATTACAGCTAGAATAGAGCCAATTATCGCAAAAGCCATCATGTAAAAACATACTTTAATTCTGGCTTTAGTATGAGCTAGCTGTATAGTTCGTATACTGAATAATAAGAATAAAAAAATTTAATAGATACAATTTTAAAATAAGCAAACTTTTTTATATTTCTTTAGAAAATATAATGTACTTATATTATATATTTGTATATAAATATGTGTACATATATTTAAATTTAATTTTATAAATATTATATATGAGAATATATTTTTACTTACCTTACTTGTTTTGGAACTTTATCCATACTAGGAAAACGTTTAACCCAAACTAATATTCTTTTATCAAAGTTAGTCAAAGTATATAAAGACTCTCCTAAAACATAATTTTTTTTTTTTTTTTTACATATTTTTATTAAAATCAAAAGCATTTTAAAAATATATTTTACCTGATACAAATTCAATTGCCTCCTTTTCAGCTTGTGATATATTAGTAGTTTTGGCTGTTTCAGTTTTAACTTTAGATGTTTCAGTAATAGGTTTATTTTCATTTTTAACAAATGTTGAATGTAGTTGTCTTATTTTAAAATTATTATTAAACTGCCTTATCAATCTTGTGCAAAACATCCTATATATAATAAAAATCTTTATCAAAGTTAAATGCTATTTAATATTAACAATAACTATTATAGATATTTTTATATTAATTATTTTTGTAATAAATATATAATATTAATGATTAAGATTAAAATTTTGTATTATGTACTCATGGTTTTTATATATTATATGTCTATAAATAAGTTGTACTTCATAATAGAATAACTATATTTTAAAAGTCATATTTTGATTTAGATTAATAATATATATTTAATATAATAAAATTATCAATTAAATATATCTCTTTATTCTCCTGTTTTATATAATAACCAATTTCAATGTAATAATTCATGTAATTGTTAAATGTATTATCATTAAAATTGATTACTTACTTCTTGTAATTTATACTGTACTGACAGTATTTAAAAACTTGCTCTGTTTTTTACGATCACACGTTATCCGAGTCACGTATTACGTACTACTAACATAATGTCACAGACGAAGTACAAAATATACGTTCAATATATTTTTTTATCCTAGATTTATATGATATTCTTGATGACACAAAGATTCTCTTATCATTTTAAAGTCATTCTCAACATTACCGATTCGATTCAGAATAAGATTGTAACATTGTACTGGTTGGAATTGAAACTATTAAATTACAAATAAAAAATAGAATAAATAAAAGAATTCTCTTTTAAGAAGAACTTTCTAATCCTTTTTTCGATAAAATATTTCAACATTTGTTCCTATTTTCTTTGTCGAATCGAATTTTTTTTGTTTTACATCATTGTTAAACAATGAGTCGAGTCAAAAAACATTCATATTATTTATCAGAGTATATTATTTTACATTATTCAAGAAATACATTGTAAATCTAAGAATATAATTTTTAAGACCAGAAAGATTTTAAAAAAGATTAAATCAAGAAAAAGAAAATTATGAAATGTTCAATAAGTATTTTATGGTTATTATCTGTAATTAGATATCAAATAGAGAAAGAAAGCAAATAATGGTAGAAAAATAATGATAGGATAAAAATTATCAATCAGTGTCATTTCTAAAATATCGCAAATGAAATATAAAAAGAGAATAAAAAATGATATAAAAAGAAGATAGAAATAAATAAAAATTGACTATCCACACCACTTCTTAAATGCCAAAAATGACATTCTTCTAAGAAGGGATAAAATAGATCAAGAATCGAGAATCAACGCTATCTCTAAAATATTTTTATAAAGATATGATTTAAAAAATAGCGCTGAAAGTTAATTCTTATTTTATTTTATCCTTTCTTAAAAGAATTATCTTTAGCATTCAAAAGATGGCGCGATCAATTCTGATCCTATATCTTTTTCATACTATTTGCTATTCTTTATAAATTTCATTTATGGTATTCTAAAGTGGTGTTGATTTCATCATTTTTGTATGTGTTCTTTTTTTTCTATTTATTCGTTTATACTATACTGTTTTAAATTTAAAAATTTAATATTTGTCTACGAAAAATAATATTGCAATATCTTTTAATTTTTATATAATATATAAAATATATATTAATTTCAATATTGCTTTAATGATAAATATTGAATATTTAAAAACGTATAGATATTTATGTTTTATTTTCTATATGTAGATATGCACGTGTTTACTTCACTTGTTGTGACAAATTGTGATGAAAAAAATATGCTTTAAAAATTTTATTTAATTAATAAATTTACAAAATGAAGGTGAAAATTCTGACAAGAAATCCTGATGAATACTTAAGAGAAACAAAACGTGACATATATAAAGGTTAGTATTAATGAAAAATAATAATAAATTAAGTTCTTGTTATAAATCATATATCTTATTATATAGTTATATATAATATATATTATTATATCATATATATTATTATACAGTTATGATAATTAAATAATTAATTTTGTTCATTATTTATAGTACCTAGAAATTATGATCCAGCATTACATCCTTTTGAAGCAGCAAGAGAATATACTAGAGCTTTAAATTCAGTAAAATTAGAAAGAGTATTTGCAAAACCTTTTGTAGGATGTTTGGAAGGTCATAAAGATGGAGTGTCTAATATGTGTAAGCATCCTCTCCATTTATCTACTATACTTAGTGGAGCTTTTGATGGAGAAATAAGAATATGGAATCTTACACAAAGAAAATGTATACGTAGTTTTTTGGCCCATGATGGTATTGTAAGAGGAATTGTGTTTAATGCAACTGGTGAACAGTTCATTACTGTTGGTGATGATAAAACTATTAAAACATGGAAATCACAAAAAACATCATTTGGTGAAGAAGAAGAACCTATAAATACAATTATTAGTAAGGTAAGATATTAAATATTAACAACTATTATTTGTATATTATATTAATTTAAAAATTATGGATATTTTGTAGACTGTAATAACTGGAATCTCTCATCATCGTTCCCAACCAATATTTGCAACTTGTGGTGAAGTATGCCATTTATGGGAAGAAACTCGTAATGAACCAATTCGTACATTAAAATGGGGTATTGATACTTTATATGATATTAAATATAATCCTGTTCAAACCAATTTATTTGGTAAGAATAATTATTGTGTTATAAAATTAATTATTAATTTATTAAGTATAAATGATTATATTTTAATTTTATAAGATCATAATTAAAATTTTATATAATTTTATAGCTGCTTGTGGAAGTGATCGTAGTATAATTTTATATGATGCCAGAGAAACAGGTCCTTTGAGAAAAGTTTTTATGAGATTAAGAACCAATAGATTGGCTTGGAATCCTATGGAAGCTATTACTTTCACATGTGCTAATGAAGATTACAAGTAAATTCAAAAAAAAAATATTTTCTTTAAATTTTTTTATTATTATTTAAATTGGAATATAGAAACTAAGAAATGTATTAACTATGATATATTCTATTTTTTAATCTAGTTTATATACTTACGATATTCGTAAGTTGAAAACACCTGTAAATGTGCACATGGATCATGTAGAAGCTGTAATTGATGTTGATTATTCACCAACTGGTAAAGAATTTGTATCTGGTAGTTATGATAAGTCTATTCGCATTTTTGAAATAAATAAAGGTCATTCTCGAGAAGTTTACCATACAAAACGTATGCAAAGATTAACATGTATGGGATGGTCTCTTGATAACAAATATATTATTAGTGGAAGTGATGAAATGAATATTCGTGTTTGGAAAGCAAGGGCATCAGAAAAATTGGGTGTGGTATGTTTTATATTTTTTGGTTTTTTATTATTTTACATTAAAATAATTATTATTTTATAATTAAATTAAAATAATAATAATTTAATAAAATAAATAATTACAGTTAAAACCTAGAGAAAAAGCAGCATTAAATTATAGTGAAGCTTTAAAAGAAAAGTTTGCTGCACATCCTCAAGTGAAGCGAATTGCGCGACATAGACAAATTCCAAAACATATTTACAATGCAAAGAATGAATTACGTACGATTCGAGAGAAGACTAAACGAAAGTATATATCATTATTAAAAAAAATAATAATAATAAATATATCAATTATGTATATTTTTTCTCGAAATATTTTTTACTATATTTACTTATTTTATTTTAGGGAGTCTAATAGACGTGCTCATTCTAAACCAGGAACTGTACCTTTCATTCCGGAAAGAAAAAGACATGTTGCACAGCAAGAAATATAATTTAAAATTTTATATACTATAATATTTTTAATAATGAAAAATATAATTATGGATATAAATTGGACACACACAATTGAATTATTTTTTTGTTCAATATTTATTGTAATAAATAATTTTATTGAAATTATACAACGCATTGCTATATAATAATTCGTAAAACGTTACAAACTTCAAGCAGTGATTAATGTCTTGCTTAGCGTAGCTTACAATGATTTATTAATTTTCTTTCATTTTCATTGCGCATTTATTTTAGCAAATATTTCTGAATTTGGCAATACGAAGATCATATACTCGATGTTTGAAGTATAATGAATATCCGTAAACTAGCTAAAAATCATGCTGAAGTTTTGTTTCATATTTTCGTTAAGAATGACAATATGTGATTTTAGTCTTCGTATTTTTCATTTATTTTATATTTTCAGGTCCGCATTATAAATCTTATATTTTCGGTTTAAATAAACGAATATAAGAAACATTTATCGATTTTATACGTAAATATATAGCATGATAGGAAGGAATATTGTATTTAATTTAATACCAGATATTTGATTGCAGATAAACTCCTTAATAAAATACTATTTTATTATTTTTTATCATGTCTCTTATACGCATTATTTTGTAGAATAAATCAACGATGACCTGTCGTTTATAAAATCTTATAATATTATATTCATATTCATATTATTCGGTGGATTCGATGATAGTTTTTCTAGATTTTATTCTAGATCTTATTCGATTTTTTTATCATTTTGTATATTGAAAAAATTGAAAAGTAGGAATTTTATTGAAATATTTCCTTAAAATTTTATATTCTTGGGCGTATAAAAAGCGGCACATAGTTTTCGATTTTGACCTTTTATGTCGGTTAACACACACGTAAGATTATTCTTCTTTTCTTCTGTTTAACATCCACTATGCGCGCATAAATTCTGTACAAGACTAGGTTAGTCGAACAATTAAATTATTAGTGTAATATGTTTTTCATCGGTTTTAAAATTCCATGGTAATACATATTCTACGCTTTGTATCGTCACTGTTTCAAAGATCTATTTCTTCTAACGCTGCCGTCCATGTTATTTAATTAAATATGAATAGTATTGTATAACAATAATTATAATTTATATACATATAAACACATTTACATTACTTTTGTAAAACATTTAGTCGCGTGAAATTTTAATAGCAAAATCTCAAGGATTTTTAAATTTTTTTTTTAATTAATCGAAAATTAAAAAGATCTCGTTGTATAATCGCCATATTCAATTCATTGAAAATTATTTATTTATTGATTTAATATAATATTCTCTTATTATTGTTTAATCGGTAAATTTTTCTATTAAAAGTTTTTGCTCTGTTTATTAAATGATCGTCGGATAATGTAATACTGTCAAATAATCTTTGATTTATAAACTGAACACTATAGAATTTCACACACTCGTCCGTAACAAAAAACCATTCAAAAGATATTCACAGTAACACTAAAAAATATTTATCTCATTTTTTCTGATAATTTTTATTCGATCTAAATGCTACAATAAGCTAGTTTATCAAAAATCCTGCAAATTAATTGTCCTTCGAAATTTTTTATCGCAGAGTCGGCGTCAATATATATTAATACACAAATAGACGCTTGTTAACAATTCAATCTAAAATATTAATTGATCTTTATTCATCGAACGAAAAATATCGGGAATGAAATCTACAAAATAAGGAATCAGTTTTTCCCTGCTGTGCGTCCTCCGACTTTTGATTCGCTGTTATTTTCACGAATAATGGCGATCATTAAATTATGTTATATTCTCTATCATTTATTGATGACTTATAAATATTTATCACCGCGAGAACATGCTGAATTTTATTCTAGCATACAACATTTTTTATTCTCGAGCATGTGGTAAATCGTTGTAACGAATAATCAATCAATCATGTCATCAATAATTCTTTCTATTTATCGACAAATACGATGGACCAATCGAGAATCGAGTTCAGTGAAAACTCATTTTGATGATTTTACGAACTCCTTTCAACGATCTGTAGAATTCTATTGTGAAGCACATTTTTCAGTTTCTCGTAGTCTTTCAGAAACGAATTCAGCTTTAACTGTCCGGTTCGAAGAATTGGTGAAAGAATCGATTTTTTTCCAAATCGTTCTGATTACAAGAGTTTTATTCTAGACGTTCAAGTCAGCCATCATTTTGCGAAAGTCAGCTAAGGTATTGTAATCAGGATCCGAATCGATATCCGCGAAGTCTTTGTTGGAATCGCTTTTCACAAAGCTTGGGTTGTATCGACTTAATGACAAAGGACATGGTAGTAATTCTGGCATCACTGAGTGGTGAGTAATTAGAGCAGTAAGTGTCGTGAATTCCTTTGTAAAGCCCTGCAACAAATAAAATAATATAATTACTATTTGTATTCGATCATTAAAAATTTTAATTTTATCGTGAAACGATATAAAATTTTAATTAGTTTTTGTTTCATTTCATAATTTTTTCGATGAAAATGAAATAGTAATATAATTTTTGTTGAAGTATAATTATTTACAGTGATATTGTATTACGATTGTTGTGTTATATATGTTAAAAACTTTAAAAATTGCAAATTTCATTGTCATCAAATGAATAATATAAAATTAATTATTGAAAATATATCGATTTTATGTAATAAATAATTTAGAAACGAAGCAAACGAATAACAAACATCGTATATGCATATATCAAAATTATCATATACTGTATGTTCGAATCTCATCGTGTGTTGCCACGGCAATGCAATTCTAGATGAAAGAGTAGTGGGGAATTTTGATTTCCCTACGGTACATCCAACAAAACTCATTTATACTCGTTTCGGAGATTATCAAAGTCCACGGACCCATTTAATTTATCCTACAAGGGAAATCCGGACATTTAAATACGCGTACCGAAATGGCAGAATACGCAACCGGAGTAGCTTTGTACTTGCACAATGTCTCTATTATAATATTTCTGAACTGAAAACATCGGTCCAAACGCGATATTACTCTGCGGTGATTAACATCTGGGTACAAAGCGGCTCGGTTTTCTTTGTCAATGTACATTCGTTTCATTCATGGTTAACATGAAAAAAAAAATTTTATTTTAAAAGATTATATAGATCTCGAAAGAATTTTTTTAGAATCTAATGTATTTGATATAAATAAAATCATAATATATTTATCTATAAATATATCTTTGAAGAGATAAATCAGAATAAAAAAAAATTGATATATAAAATTAGGTAATTGAAGCTTATTTATTTATTAAGTTATGCAATTAAATATTATTTTATATTATTAAGTTTTAATCAATATTTTTGTATATTAATTTTTCTATTTGATCTCTGGTGATTGATCTTTCGAAAGTATCTCATGAAAATATTAATTTGTATAATTCTTGATATATCATTTGTAATATACTTTATACAACAATATATTTTAATTATTTTTGTTTTATACAAATTATTCAATTATTAATCTTTCTGTCTGCTTTGAGTAATAGCATTGAAATGAATTGTAATAGTAGAAAATGAATTTACGTTGTCAAGGCGAAAGTGTTAATTACTCTATTTAAGCGCAGACGTTTCGTAGACGGTTAAAGACTTTCACAAGAAAGGCCATCCAGAGAAGAGATTTACCTTGATTTTGTAGCCTTTGTTCGTACGCATTATGAGATAATGGGCTATTCCGCTTGGTTGGAATTCGCGCGGCACTCGAAGCGAAAGGGCATAACATCCGGGTTTACTGGTACTCTCTCGCACCATGAAGGCTCCTTCCGGCTCCTGACTCAACACTTCTAGCGTTATTTCCCTGGAATCATAAATGATCATGACACTGTGAAAATGCAAATTTATATAAATAAGCAGTGAAAATAATTAAACTCAGATGGTTTATTATTATTCTATTGTATATATATTTTTATGCATTTTAATTTATGAACGATAATAATAATAATAATAGATAATTGAATATTTACATTTAAATAAATATCAATGAGTAAAAAGCTTCATGATTTTAAAATAGTTATATGTTATAAGCTTATATTAATCATTATAATACATTGAATTAGCAATTTTTTAAAATTAAATATTAGAAAAATGTAATGATGTAAATGATGAGAAACCTTGGTATTCCAGCTTGAAACCAGGGAGCTTTTCGTAGTTCAGCTTCTTCACTGCGGTTATTAAGGCTATCCGTTCTTTCAGGAAGAGGTGGTGGGGTCGGTGTGGAACCATGTGTACTTCCATCAGCGGGTACTGAACTGCTCGAGGTACTAATCTGAGATCTTCTCTTCGATTTGAATTCTGTTTCCGTACCAGAGCTGGGAGAATTATGTCCTATCCTGTAAGTTTTATAATTATAATCAATATCGAAATCTTTTTCTACTTAAAAGATGGACTATTTAAATTTAAAATGAAAATTTTTCAATATCTATATATATAATTCACACAAAATACTTCACATAAAATACTTCACATAAAATATTTTATACATATTGAAAGATTTGTCATAAGATAACTATTCATATCTTTTTCACAAGTTGTTACCTGTTGTTCTCAATGTTGAAATTTTTCGCAGTGATGGAGGCGTTGATGGTATTGTCCAGGCTCTCAGATGGGGGTATCTTGTTGTACGCCGGCCTCGTGCCCTCGGACTCGATGATCGCCTCGTTTATATAACCCCCAGAATGCGGCCTGTTTGACGGGCTCGTCGGTGTGCTGCTACCACTGACGAGGGGGCAGCTGTCATCCTCACCGTTCAACCCAAGAACGTCACGTCCACCTGTCAAACCCATCGCCAGCCGCTTTATCAGAGGCGGCTTGTCCGTTAGTCTCTTGTACGAATTTAGCTCCGTAGGTGAGTTGCTCTCATCGCTGCTCGGTGTGCTCTGCTGAGAGATACTCTTTGGCTCATCCTCGTTCGTTATTGGGCCGAGAACGTTGGTGAAGTTGTGCGTCGGCCGTAGACCCGGGATCGAGTTCGGTGTCTGATTCGGTGCAAAGAAATGGTTGATCAGTCTCCATGGTATGTACAACTTAACGATGACGTTCGAACACATTTCTATCGCAGAGAACGCGAGAGAAATGCGAGTGTAAACGCGGATTCGATTTTCTTTAATCTTTTTCCTTATCTAGAACGATTACAGTAACTTGTGATTAGTGTTCTTCGTTTATCGAGAATAATCATCGAGGTAATTTATGATAATGTTGGTTATAAATGATAATGAAAATCTTTGAGAAAATTTATTTCTAAGATGTAACAAATACGTGCATTCAACTTGCAAATAAAGTCTTGATGAATTTTAATGTATCCAATCTCTTGGTTAAATATTTATTTTCTTGCTTCATATTTGTTTTACCTCGTTGATAAGATAAGATTGCATATTCTATAAAAAGAGATGTGTACCGGGGTTTGTCAAGTCACTATTCGCAATCGTTACAACAGCATTAAAATTCGATTTTTCCAGAGATGAAGTCATTAGATAATTAGAAACAATCAATCAATATCGCAATAGCAATTCAATTTTGAAAATTAAAAATCTTCATTCGGATAAATTCGAATAATTATTTTGTAATTTGTTTGTTCCAAATCTTGTTACATCATCAAAGAAATTAAATTAGCCAAGATTCTAACCACGTTCGTTATTTAGTTTTCGCGTGTGCGATGGGCCGATACGACGCCATTCAATCTGTTCAACGACGTTTCTATTCTCGAGTCTGGCTCGAGAACAGCGTGGCGAATAACGGCGTGAAATAACGTCGCTCGTTTCGTTGAAAAAGCCATTGAGCGAAAATATGTATACTCGGGGAAGAGAAGGCGTGAGCTCACCTTCACGCTAGCGAGTCGCAGCGTGGGCGAGCCTGCGCTGCCGAGCTGTACGTTCATGTCCGCCGCAGACGAGCCGCTTCCAGTTCTGGACGTGGGCGACGTCCGACTTTTTAGCCACGAATTCGAAGACGAATTCCTGCAAACACCTCCCGCGCCGGCGATCGAGCTGTCGCCAGCCAACGATTTGTTCTGCGAAAAAAAAAGGAAAAATAATCATTACGCAACTGAATTGTGAGAAATTCCAATCTTTAAACAATTCCATTAGAGAATAGAATAGTTTAAAGATAAGTAAAAAGTATAAAATTGTATATTGTTTAGATATTACAATGATGTAATATGTTATATAAATTCGTCAAAAACATTTAATTATAGGTAAGAGTATTAAAAATTTGGACAAATTTTATTACAATAAAAAATATTTTTACTATGTGATTAAAGTTAAATAAAATTTGTCATTTTTTTTATTCGACTAAATTATTCGACAATTACGTAAACGTTTCGAAAATAGTTTCAGGGAACGGATAACGTAAGCATGGGCAAGAAAATACGAGGAAATAAAACGACGGGGAATCGTACTGAATGTTTAACCTGTTAGGCGGTAAATGTCAGATATATCGGCGGCCAGTTTCCGAGTTTTACTCGCCAATTTTGACACAGGTATCGATCTTACGGAGGCTTGAATTTGCCGGTGAAACGATGAAAAGTTTATCGACGGAATCTTACGATTCCCAGGACGATTGCGTGGGGAGAACGAGAGGAAAGACCGCGACGAACTGACCGTTTACGTGGAAACACGATGGAGCCGAGAGACTTGGGTCGAATTTATAATTAACGCGGCCTGTAAATGGGACACCTCTACTGGAGACTGATGCTCTCATGAGACCGCGTTATATTTTATACTTTATTTTTCCTTGCACTTGATCTTTGACTCGATTTTTGTATCAAAAAGAAATTCTTATATTAATCGTTGAAATCTTCGTAAATTTTTGTATTCTTTTATCTATATTATATTATCTATATTATCTACATTATCTATTATCGTTGCTTTTTTGTTAATGTTAAATTTTTCGCTTGGAAAGATTTTTTTTACGCGTGTAAATTATCTTCATGCAGTATTAGAATTTATAGAAGGCAGAACGATTTCTCTGCTACGTTATCGATAGAATGAAAATTAAGAGAAAGCGAAATCGCTGGTGCGCGATACGAGGTATAGAAATTTACATACCCACGAAGATCGATTCTCCTGTTTGTCCTTTCGGTAGGGTGGCGATGATTGCGGTGAGATCACATCTTGAAGGATCGGTTGGCGCTGAAGCTGCGCCACGTATGCCATACGAAAAGCATTGCCGACAATGGTGTTTAACTCCTCCGCCTGAAAAATAACGTAGAAAAGAAAAGAAAAGAAAAGAAAAGTTAATATAACTTTACCAAGGTAGAAGTAAAAATAGTTTCCTTATTCGTCAGATATATTGTAATATTTAAAATACATTTAAAACCATTTACAAAGTGCTTAAGGATAAAAATTGACCTGGATCGAATCAGGGAAGTAATTGATATTGCACCAAAGAATTTCAATTAATTCGCCAATTCACTAGTCCTCTATGCTCCAGTCTACATCAAAGATGAATTTCAAACTATATAATCGATGGTTAATTAAGCTTCGAAATAACAACTTCGCGTTTGTTCAAGTGGTCTTTTATTTAATCTCTCTAAAGTTAATTTTACGTCGACTTTTGCCGCGCGAATCGACTGTCTGACTTTTCAATTTAACCTGGTCTTTTTCGACCAGGAATAATTTTTTCGAAAAATATCTGGCCCGAAATTACTCTCGCAACAGGAGTAAAGAAAGCTATTTCGCGGGGGAAAAAGTTTTCGAAAACAATGACGGAGGACGTCGTCTCCCATAGTGCAGCAGGGAAACCAAAACATTTATCATTCACACGTCACACCCAGAAACTATGGAAGACGACGAGTTTACCGCCATTTCTCCACAAAGGAGTCTCTCGACTGTTCGAGGCCCGTAAAACGTCGTGCATGTCGTCGTCCGTACAAAATTTCCGATGACGATCGCGCGAGAGAAGAGGAGGAGATGGAGGAGGAGCAGGAGGAGGGGAAGAGGCATGCTGTTTCACGTAACGTTTCGAGCGGCTCGGATGCGTGTAAGGGAGAAGGAGGAGAGGAAGAAACGGACGTCGGGTGTAATCCATACGACAGGGCTCGAGGAGGACGCTACCGGAAGCGGGGTCGATACGGAAAATAAACTACGTGGAGGAACTTTACATATGTCGAACGAGTATCGTGGTGTGTATGAAGAACACGTGGAAAGAAGCGAGACGCGATGATACGAAAATGGAAAATGGAGAAGGAGTATGTATCGAAAGATAAAAGGAAAAAAAAAAAAGAAAGAGACTAGAGAAGTTAAAATGTAGAAAGAAAAAAAAGGAGATGAGGGAAAGAAATAAATATATCGAAAGAAAAAGAAGAAGATGATATATATATATATATATATATATATATATA